CTCGTCCCCACCGCGTGTCGTCACCGTCCTCCTCCCCAAGGGTCGCTCCCGAGCCTCGCCGCCCGAACAACTACGAGCGGAGGGTGAGGGAACCCCCAACCTCCTCCTTTCCCCGCGCCGCGCTTCGGCGTGCATAGCTGTGTGCTCGCCGCGCACCACGCGCCACCCCGCCCTTGCTTCGCCGCGCCCCGACCACGCCCGATGCGTGCACGCCCCTGCTCCCCTGCTCGACCTGCTACTCATGCCGGGCCACTGACGCCCGCAGCCCCCCCTCCCGCGCCGGCCACGTCCCGGGCCCCTTGCTCGCGCCTACGCACCCGCCCCGCGCTGTCATGCATGTGTCTCCGCCTCCCGCCGGGCGCCCCTGTCCCGCCTCATGCTGCTAGCCCCGCCACCGCCAGAGCCCCCGCCAGGGACCGTCCTCGCCAGCTTCTCGTCGAGGCCATGGCCTCCGCCGGCGCCCTCCATCACGCCCGTGCGTGTTCGGGCGGACGCCCACACCTAGGCACCCGCATCCACCGCATGGTAGCCCTCTGGCCCTATGACGTATGGGCCCCACGCCCAGAGAACAAAAAAAATTAAGATTAATAATAATAATAATGAAATTTAATTAATTAAGATAATTAATTAACTTAATTAATCATGTTAACTAATCTAGTTAACCATGTTAATTAACCTTAATGATCTGATTAGATAAACAGAGTATGACACCTGGGTCTCACCTGTCAGCTTGACCTGGTCAACTAGTTGACTGCTGACTGGACCCTTGACTGAGCCAACTGGCCCCCTGGCACAACTAACAGGCTGTGTGGCACAATGTTGTGTACACTTTCTGTGTACACCTAGCATTTAACAATTAGTAATTTTCGGATTAATTTAATTAATAGTAATTTCAGAAATGTTTAAATCAAATTAATATAAAATAATCTGTAACTCCGACGGAAAAACTTTGTACACGAAAGTTGCTTAGAATGACGAGACGAATTCGGATACGCAGCCTGTTCATCCGCCACGCATCCTTAGCATAGTGAACACGCAACTTTCCCCCTCCGGTTCGTCAGTCCGAAAACGCGAAACACTGGGGATATTTTCCCGGATGTTTCCCCCCTTCACCGGTACTACTTCTTACCGTGTTAGGGCACCCCTAGCACCGCTACTTGTCTTGTCATGCATCTGTTTGCTTAATATTTATTGTTTCTTCCCCCTCTTCTCTCGCTAGACACTGAGACCGACACCGCTCCTACCCAGTACGACTACGGTGTTGACGACCCCTCTCTCTTGCCAGAGCAACCAGGCAAGCCCCCCCTTTGATCACCAGGTATCGCCTACTCTTCTCTCTACTTCTTGCATTAGAGTAGTGTAGCATGTTACTGCTTTTCGTTAATCCTATTCTGTTGCATAGCCTGTCATTGTTGCTACAACTGTTGATACCTTATCTGCAATCCTAAATGCTTACTATAGGATACTAGTTTACCATTAGTGGCCCTACATTCTTGTCCGTCTGCCATGCTATACTACTGGGCCGTGATCACTTTGGGAGGTGATCACAGGCATATGATATATACTTATACTGTTACATTACTTATGATACTGTTCGGAGATGGGTGCTGAAGGGGCAGGTGGCTCCATCCAGGTAGTTTTGGGCCTGAGTTCCCGACGGCCCTCGACTGTTACTTTGAGGCGGAGTGACAGGACAGGTTTAGACCACCTAGAAGAGAGGTGGGCCTGGCCCTGGTCGGCGTTCGCGGATACTTAACACGCTTAACAAGATCTTGGTATTTGATCTGAGTCTGGCCATTGGCCTATACGCACTAACCATCTACGCGGTGACAGTTATGGGCACTCGACGTCGTGGTATCAGCCGAAGCCTTCGTGACGTCAGCGACTGAGCGGCGCGCGCCGGGTTGGACTGGAACGCCTGCTCTTGTATAAGGGAGGCTAGGTCTGCTCACCGGCCGCGTACGCAACGTGCAGGTGTGCAATGGGCGATGGGCCCAGACCCCTGCGCCATAGGATTTAGACCGGCGTGCTGACCTCTCTGTTGTGCCTAGGTAGGGCTGCGACGTGTTGATCTTCCGAGGCCGGGCATAACCTAGAAAAGTGTGTCCGGACAAAGGGGATCGAGCGTGTTGGGAAATGTGGTGCACCCCTGCAGGAAAGTTAATCTATTATAATAGTCGTGATCTTCGGTAACAGGACGACTTGGAGTTGTACCTTGACCTTATGACAACTAGCACCGGATACTTAATGAAACACACCCTTCCAAGTGCCAGATACAACCGGTGATCGCTCTCTCACAGGGCGACGAGGGGAGGATCCTCGGTTAGGATTATGCTATGTGATGTTACTTGGTGAACTTACCATCTACTCTCTTCTCCTGCTGCAAGATGGAGGTTACTAGAAGTGTAGTCTTCGATAGGACTAGCTATCCCCCTCTTATTCCGGCATTCTGCAGTTCAGTCCACATATGTTACCCCTTTTTCCATTTGATACCAATACATGCATTTGTAGTGTAGCTCCTTGCTTGCGAGTAGTTTGGATGAGTACTCACAGTTGCTTTGCTCCCTCTTTTCCCCCTTTCTATACCCGATTGCTGCGACCAGACGATGGAGCCCAGGAGCCAGACGCCACTGTCAATGACGACTACTACTACTCGGGAGGTGCCTACTACTACGTAAAGCCTGCTGACGACGACTAGGAGTAGTTTAGGAGGATCCCAGGCAGGAGACCTGCGCCTCTTTCAATCTGTATCCCAGTTTTTGCTAGCCTTCTTAAGGCAAACTTGTTTAACTTATGTCTGTACTCAGATATTGTTGCTTCCACTGACTTGTCTATGATCAAGCTCTTGTATTCGAGCCTTCGAGGCCCCTGGCTTGTAATATGATGCTTGTATGACTTATTTTTAATTGTAGAGTTGTGTTGTGATATCTTCCCGTGAGTCCCTGATCTTGATCGTACACGTTTGCGTGTATGATTAGTGTACGATTGAACCAGGGGCGTCGCATGGTGGCGCTAGGGTTTTCCCCCTGGCGGCACCCTGGGGAGGCGTCACGAGGGGGTCGTGAGGCTTTCACGTCAAGATGGTGATTGTTTAGTCGGAAAGCCTCCACAAGATGGCCCAGAGAACAATGATGTGCAAGCGCGCGCCACAATTAATGCATGTATAATTCCAAACTAGAGCATGAGGCAAGCCTTGCCTAGCCATCCTTCAATCATGAGTTAAGTACTTTATTTTTAATTTATACATGGTTTATTACCACCGGCTGACTTGATGTGAATAATTATCACTTACTTATCTTACATATTATTAATTACCAATCATGTTAAAACATCTCCACAATAGCGAGAATAGTAGATTTATGGTAATAGCCTCGGTATCATTGAGGTAACAACAGGGCTAATCATTAGCTCTATGCATGATTCATACATGTTATCATGGAATGGAATGCTTCGTTGAATCGAAATTGTTCTCTTGCAATGCTAGCATGTCCTTCCTTTATGGCATGTGCCAAGTGAATCAATGGGCCCGTTCTGTATCGTTCATGTTGTGTTATATTTTTTTTTGAGAATATTCATGTTGGGTTGTCGATGGAAAGAGAAAGTATATATATACTTTACAGACCAGCCAGCAGCTAGAAAAAAGGTAAAAATCATAGTAGCAGACTAGCGGTACAGGTGTACGTATGTGCACGGCCAGAAGTTAAAAGCTCATCCACTCCCATCACTCCCATTCAGCTCGAAATACCCAGGAGAACATCTGCTTCGACTTCATCATCAATTCATCTCGCCTGCAACGAGCATGCGATCATGTCAACTTCTGTGACTAGTAGTGAATCCCTAAACCCCTCTAATCATGTTATTTTTGTGATCTAGATGCAATCTGTTCATGTAATGACATCCTAGTGATGCAATAATTCTAGCAATACGTGCCATGCATGAGCACAACTTTTTTAAAAATAAATTACCTAACTGTGGGGAAATTTTGTTATGCAAAAACTGTGGGGATTCTTGTCCTAGTTAGTATTGGTGTAAGAGTATATTTTGTTGATTTAAAAAGGAGAGAATAAGTTTTGTTATTTATTATTATTACTGGATTTCAAATATTGCATCAGGATCCATTCAAAAAGCGTATGAACATTTATGATCAAACTCAAATTTTATTTCATGATAACATTTGCAAACTCAAAATTTGGTAGTGGTTTGAATACCCTAAGGGCATCTCCAACGATGAGAAGCGAACCACACACAAAAAGTCAGGACTGACAAGTCCGGACCATTTTTGCCATCCAAGACGGTTCCTCAAACGTCCATGGACGCATGCGGGTGTCCGAATTTCATATCCAAAACAAATATGTAGTCAATTTGGGGGCGTCCATAACACAGCCTGCAGCAGCAGACGCTAGCACTTCCGAGCGAGTATTTTGATTTGAATACCCTAAAGACAAATTTCTTCAATGATATTTAATGAATTTAACAAATTTAGTCTCAAAATACCGAAAGAAGAAAAAAAGTAATTAGATTGTTGAAACTCAATTTTACTTATCTTGAGTGCTACAATAATATTTTCAACACACTACCAACAGTCAAATACACATTGGTTTATTGGCGAAGAAAAGCACAGAAAGTGATAGTTCCTTGTGGAAGACTGCTTCATCATATGGTGTGACATCGATGCCGTCATCAAATTGTTGCGCAAAAATGTGGCAGGTGGGAGTCCAAGAATGATGGGATTGGCCTGCAAGCACCAGTACTAGTCTAGGACTTGAATCCGATGGTTTGGTTCCATCACAAGGTACCTAAACATCTAAGCTATTCTTAGTTCACGATATCAAGGTATATGACACAAAGTGTGGGCGTACTACTAGTTACAACTTAATCCAAACAATGACCCATCCAGTTTGGTACAAAAGCACCACGTGTGTGTTGGCGGCAACATAATCATATAAGTTGAACTGTTGGAAGACAAGTGCACATCTGCTGCCTCCCGTTTCTGACAATCTTTACTCAAGTAAACCAGCATCCTTAAGAACAGTCTCAAAATTCTCCTCGCTCTCCCAGCTGGGGACCTCCTGTACTTTGTGTTGGAAGTAGTTCTCGATCTTTGTCATCAAAATGTCATCAGTTTCACCGCATAGCAGGTTGAACACAGCTCCTGTCATGAGCATCGATTCAATTAGGAATATAGCCAACAAAATAAGCATTGTAATTGGACAACATGGTAGCTGATAATATGGCATGAATAATACTCGTGAGTAGACATATTCTATGTTTTTAGTGTACAAAACCTATAAGTATTCAAGTAAATTGTGTGAACAATCCTAGAAAATCAGTTTACAATCCAAACAAACATATAACATCCATAATCGACAAGCAATGGTCACATAAGTTCTATCATATCCTCATAAAGAAGCTCAGAAATTTTGCCAAATCTTATTCACAACATTACCAATCTAATTTTGGTGAGAAGTTTAATCTCAGGCTAGAACATCATTAGGTTTACTAAAGGTAGCATGTTTTCTTATTACTCAGGTTCAGTCTGCCTTTATCTCCAAGCCATTTGCATTTGTCACGATGTGGACAATCATTATGCTTATAACGGCTGCATGTGATATTCTTTACAATTTACACTTGATGTAATTCTAGAATAGAATACAGTAATCATCTCCCTCTATTTGTTTTGGAAAGTATGCCATACATAAATAAATTTACCTTTTCGGCCAAAGCGCCCAGCTCTGCCAATTCTGTGCAGGTACACCTCATAATCAGGCTCATCTCTAGAATTATATTTGATTGGCATGTCGTAGTTGATGACCAGATTGACCTTTCAATGGGATAATGTTAGAATTAGAAATTCAACATGTGAGTAAAATCGGTATGACACACATAGTACCTGTGATTGGTCAAAACCCCGGGCAAGAAGATCAGTTGATATAAGAACCTTGGTGTACCCATCTTTGAATTCCTGTATTACCTTTTCCCTCTCTGAGTGGTCGAGGGATCCTTGAATTGAGGAACACACATAGTCCTCTTTTGTCAAAGCATTATGAAGATGCATAGTACTTATCTTTGTTCTCACAAATATGATAACCTGTCCAACCTTTTGACCAAACTCAAAGATCTTGTCCCTTATGACCTCTATTTTGGCTATCTCATCGGGGACTCGGACTTTATATTGCTTTACTTTGTCCAAAGTAAGATCTTCCTTCTTCACAAATATCTGGTTTCCCTCCTTAATGACCTTTGTAATAAAATCCTTCACTTTCTCGTTGAAGGTTGCAGAAAACAGAAGCAGCTGGCATAAAAGAATTCAAATAAGTAAAAAAAAGGCACCATATAAAAAGAGAAACAAACACATCGAACCAAGAATTTTGATGAGCACTAAGAATATTCATAATGTTTTCACAGAAGGCACCATATAATAAAAGGCTAGTTTGAATAGCACATCCATGGAATTACGCCAACAGTTACAAGCATCACAAAGGATTATCCGCCACGTGGACTAGGCTAGTGGAACACCGAAGCAAATCAACACCATATATGGATGAATGTAAAGTTGAGGGCAATAACACCCAGTGGACGGCTGTTAAGATTACTATATGACTAGATGATAACCCTTGAGAACTAGCGTGGCTCAACTACTAAGTATATATAGGATAGGAGTTCCCAATATGCAATTAGCCGGTTACATAGATAATGCCATAGTACATGATTTCTTTTTGTAAGTCCTAATTAAACTAGCAACAACAATGATGCCCATGGATGAATATGCATTGTTCCAAAAACTAAGAATAATATGTGTTGCTCCAAACATAAAGAAAAAAAATGAATATCACAGTTGAAAAAACTGGTAAAATTGAATACAACCCTTTGCATCACCAAATGACCCATTTACACGATAATCCCTCTACCTATCATTAGCAGCTGGTAGAAGTTCAACAAGCAGCACATGAGCACATACAAAGTAGTACATAAACAGGTTGTTTCCTTTAAGAACCCCCAAATATAAAGATTCAAATAGTTCTTTGGAACACATGATTGCCATAACAACTGTCACTCGATTTTGAACTATTCCAATGTGCAAGCTGTTGTATGTGATCTACTGTCAAAGTCAAAAGCAGTCGATTGACTAAAAAGAGTTACCTGGCAGTCACCGGCACTGCTCTGTATATCCCTCATGATCCTTTTAGAATCACTCATAAAGTTCTCCTGCAAGAAGCATTCACCAGCACAAGAAAGCATACTCATTAGATCTAATAGATAGAAGATACTTTACATGAGCAGATATGATATGGAATTTTGGTTCCACCTATATGTATATTTCTACTCTTGGAAACTGTACAGTAATCTATGCCGTTGGAAAACGGATACTGTTTTTTGCTTATTCTTTTCGTCCACTCAGACAACACATGAACCAGGAGCTAACATCTAACATCACACAACTGCACCACGATGACACCCCTTAATGCTCACTAGGAAACTAGAAGTAGAAACTTCACAGGTTCACGGACTTGTACTGTACTAGACAGGAGGTCCAAATAACATTTGGGTACATTAATAAACGTCTCGAACTGTATACGTACCTCAGCAAGCATATGGTCTGCCTCGTCGAACACAAGAATCTTGATGTCCCTTGTGGCAAGCTTCTTATTGGTAATCCACTTAATGAGAGTCCCAGAAGTGCCAATCACCACCTGATCAGTGACCGGTGCCATCTTGGAGATGGGCATGTAATCCTTGAGAGCCGGCGAGATGGCAGAGGCACAGGTAATGCCGGTAAACTTGCCCATCCTCATGAGCACGGATTTATTCTGCACAGACCAACGGATCAGATTCATCAAATTAAAGGTGAGAAATAGCAGTCAGAGGAGTATTCAGTAACTAGATGAGACATGAGAGAGGGACCTGCTGCGCAAGCTCCCTGGTAGGGCAGATGCAGATGGCCTGGGGAATCCTGCGGCTGGGGTCGACGCGGCTGAGCATGCCGAGCACGAAGCAGGTGGTCTTGCCGGAGCCGTTGTGCGCCTGCGCGACGAGGTTCTGATAGGGCGGCGTGAGGATCATGGGAAGCGTGACGGCCTGGATCTTGCTGGGGCGGCTGAACCCCATCTCGTCGTGCAGACCCTTGAGCAGCTCCGGCGTGAGCTTCAGGTCCTCGAAGGTCGTCGCGGATTCGTACACCGTGCCGCTGGACGCCACCTGGGGAGCAAATCACCAAATCAGGCAACCGACATCGAGACTGGCATGGATAGCTAGGGCAATGCAGAATTGCAGAGCAGAAGCGCCTACGGCTTGGATTTGGGAGTCGTCGTCGTAGTCATCCAGCAGAGGCGGTCCGCCGCCGCCGACGCCGCCGTCCTCCGGCGCCAATAGCGAGAGCGCCTCCAACTTCTTCTGGTTCTCGTTCACCGCCGTCTCGATGGCCTTAGGATCGTCGACGTCGGCCGGGGACTTCTTCTCCAACTCGGCCATTGTAAATAGACCAAGAAAAATCGATAGCGTTGTTTCCGGTTGCGATTGCGACCTCGAGCGAAAACTCAGCGATCTTTGTTTGATGGTGTTCGTTGCCAATGTAATAGTGTATATATATATGCCGAGAGTTTGTGTGAAACGTTTTGAATATGTTTGGCGGCGTGCACGTGTACGACAAGGAGTCGTCCAAACAAGCTATAGCCTTTTCACTTTCGGATATATCCGACACCGTCTTCGTCTAGATCTGCACTCACTTAGGAAAGTTTATCAAGCAAGTGTTGATTCACGTCCTAGTACGAGAGATATTTTTTTCTGACAATTGCTCACAAGTCATGCATGGTAACATCGAGGATTAACACTGTGTTAGGGAAACTCCAACACGCCGACGTATTTGGTCCACGCGTGATCGGAGCGGACGGAAACGCTGGCCCAACAGGCCGACGCAAACCCAAATTGCGTTTGACTCGTGTCCATGTGGACACATATTTCAGGCCCAAATTTATGCGTGATTTCTGTCCACACGAACACGAGACGGAAGCGCCGCGCGTCCATTTGGTGTCTGCTTCGGGCCTGCCTATGGGTCGCCCATATATCACATCTGCACAGGCAATCCCACTAGTTAGATCCAGAGTTTTCCAGCAGGTAGTCCTGGGTTTGAATCCCAGCATCTCAACTTTTTGTGTCTTTTTTTTCTTAATTTCTGTAGGCGTAAGATAGAGTTGTATCGCCTAAGTAGCTTAACAAATGGGCTGTGCAGCTACTTTTTTCGGTCAGGTTCAAGTATTTTTTTATAAAATATTCATATCTTTTAGAGGGTAACTTCAAATTTAATATATTATATATGAAAATTGCTCAGAAAAATGTGAAGATTTTAAATATGTTTTTATTTTGTATGTTAATCATTTCTAAATATGATATTATTTTTGTATGTTGAAATCTTATATATGATATTTATCTGTCCTTCACTTCACCAGAACTATCGATGTTGGATTGTAGATCAACGACTGTCGATGAAAAGTTAGTGTAATTTGTGATTAAAGTTGGTACCTGTTATTCTACCATCTGATGCCACAAGCCAATTTGATGTTTTTATGCTACTGTTCATGCAAGGATAACATCGAAAAGCTCACGACTTTATTTTCTTCGTATATAGAAAACTTACCTTATTCACATCATAAGATGTCTTTCTTTATGCACAAGACAGATTGTGGTCTTTATTTTTTGGTGAGCAGACATCCGTAATTTGTCCCACTGGCGATTTGTGGTGTGCAAATTGTTTTGGCTTCTAACACATATGGTCTTCCCTTTCTCTCTATAATCTAATACAGACAAAGAGGATTATCAATCAAGTTATATTAGTGAATCTTCAACAGACTTCCCATAATAATTATTGATCATGTAGAACCAGGTAGATATGATGGGTTAGCGTATGTCTACTATGTGTAGCTTTGTCTAGGATAAAGTTGCTTAATTCTCAAACAAAGCTAAGTTACATAGCTCTTTTGGGTATAGCAAATACACATTGGTAGCAAAATCTTAGTTTGATATGCTTCTGTTACATGTCACACATTTAACAAATCTTATGCAAGGGAAGGAAAATACAAGTACGGTGCAGTGGGATTCTATAATTCAAATGACACGATCATAACAATGAATGAACTGAGTAGTTTTATTTCTGTGCATCCATACCTCAAAAATCAGGTAAGTGCCATACAGTGATAATAGCCAAGGAAGATGCTTTCTGAATTGCATCCTGATGGTTTTCAACATACCAGGACATCAAGCTAGCTATTGTATTGCAGTTCTATTTCAGGTCAGTTAGTAATCAGGATTCAGAATATCCATCAATGTATCAGCCGGGTATGTGGGACGACGGGGTTGCAACCGGGAGTCTAGCGTCTGCACGGCACCGAGATGGACCCGTTGTAGACTGCATCCGCAGCGACACACTGGCCAGGCCGACATTGGGCAGCGACGGAGTCTGCAGAGTTTACCAATTAGATGGTTGTGGCGAGAACTGGATCATGTATCTTAAGCCATTACTTTACATGATGGAGATCGAAGTACCCATTGTTATATTTGTGGTTACAATTTGTTAGAAGTAATACGGATTTGCAACCATGAAAAACAGGTATTTATTCAGCGTAAGCAACAACTCCTAACATTCAAGCTTATACTGGGACCTCATATGGTGAGCCCGGTTGTTTGTTCGTAACTCACTGTGGCATACTTTATGTTAAATGATGCTTCTTCAATCAACAACATGGACGATCTTTTTCCGAATTTGATGGAGCACCATTTAGCCATCAATTTGATCTCTTACTCTAGCCTTTTTTCACTGTCGACATTCTTTAAATTACATGTCTTTCTTCTGGATCTGATTTACATGAACAGAGCAAGGTAAGCAGACCTACTTAAGTTCGTGTTCTTTGATTGCAGATGGAGGAGACCATGTTCGTGGGCTCATGATCATCCATGGTTGGCATCTTCAAGTGGTTTTGTCTTCATCTGCTAAATAAAGAACAAAATCTTCCAAAAATAGAGAATTAGGAATTCACACACTTATATTACATGAAAAGATCATAGAAAACAACAACCCACAAAGAAAACATATACTAGAAAAAAAAAACACCGTGTCTCTTGCCGTGCGGACGCTAACCCAGACACCGTTCAAATTACACAAGTTTCTTATTGCTGGATGCACGTATTAGATCTTGAATAATACAGTCACAAAGGATGGTGCCCTAGATCAGTGATGTTTGTCTAATGATTAAGTACACTACTAGCTCTCTAATGCAGGTCGCCTGATCCCTCCTCTTCCTGAATACAATATGCTCCACGTGTGCAAAGTAACATGGCTGCACTTTGCTACCTGCATTCCGTCTGTGAAAGCCCTGGTTCTTGGGTCGTAATACCGCAGCACCGTGTCCAGCGGGATGCTGCAGCCTGTTGGGGTCACCCGCATCCACATGACAATCGTTCCGTCGTCTAGCACCGCTAATGGCTTCCCGAAATACATGCCAGAAGTCGGCACCGGTGACGAGAGCTTAAGAGAGGGCATGGCAATCCTGTGCCGCATACACCAGTGTGCCTGGTCAGGGTCGTCCACGAGAAACCATAGCTCCATGGAGGTTTGGCGGTTGTCATGGCACACGACGAGTTTGCCTTCAAGTGTGGCTAAGGCGACATTGTGCTTGCACTCCGGGCCTTGGAGCGCATCCGGCTGCCACACCTCGTCTCCAAGGTCAAACGCCATGATCCAGGCATGCTGCACGTCGGGTGTGTCGTCGGGCTTGACCAGGAAGTAGGCCACCCCCTCGACCACAGCGACCTCCCTGCTGTAAGTCCAGGGCGGTAGTGGCGCTAGCAAACTGTACCCTGGGCTCCCGGTCTCCCTCCAGCGCTGCTCCCCGCCATTATCGTTGAGGGTGAGGATCTTGCATATCTGCTGCCACGTATGCTTAGCTGCGTTCGCGATGGCGAGCACCTTGTACTCTCCCGTCAAGGCGGCGCACCCAAGCGTGCACAAAGTAGACATGTGGTTTGATGCCGGCGGGTCAGGCAAGAGTTTGACTGCGCCGGTGGCAGGGTCGATCAGGTGGAGCCGCCCGTCGCTGCCCACGACACAGACTGCTCGTTCGGGACTCACGTCGGGCGTCTCGTGCGGCGGCGGCGTGCTGTGGCGGCTTGTGACGACGTCAATGCTTACCTGCTTGAGGACGTGGCCAGAATCCATGTCCAGGACGCTGACGACGGCATCGCCAGGGCCGTCATGGCACAGGCCAACTGCGATGCGCGGGCCAGGTTGAGCGGCCGCGATGAAATCCAGGTGGCAGAGCAGGGAGTGCCATGCGGTGCAAACGGCGCGGAAGCGGCAGACCGACTTGGCAGGGAGGCGCAGTAGGATGTCGTGGAGCAGGTCGAGTGGCAGGACGCCGACGTCGTCCTCCGGCGCCGATAGCGAGAGCGCCCCCATCTTCTTCTGGTATGCGTCTACTGCCGTCTTGGTGGCCTTAGGAGCCTCTACGTCGGCCGGGGACTTGTTCTCCATCTCCGGGTTGGCGGCGCCGTCGGCCATCGGAAAGAGACCAAGAAGAATCGATAGCGTGTTCGGTGCCGATAGCGACCTCGAGTCAAAAGCAACGGATTCGCCGTTCGAGGGTTTGTGTTTGTGTTAAACGCGTTGAATATGTTCAGCGCCGTAGACGACAAGGAGTCGACCAAACAAGCTATATCTGTTTTTTTTTCCTTTTTCTTTTTCTTTCTTTTATCCAAACAAGCTATATCTTTTTTTTGCGGGGTCAAACAAGCAATATCTGACACCACCGTGCTCGTCTAGATCTGCACTGGATTAGGAAACTTTATATCAAACACAAGTACTGATTCACCGCGTGGAGGTTTTAGCTAGTACGAGAGTTTTTTTTAACACAGTACAATTGAAATCGAAGTGGCTGACATACATCAGCATACACTTACATTTATGAACCGACACACGCATCTTCGAGAGACTGAGCCAGCATAGCATCTTGAAATTGACGAAGTCACCACAGGTGTCTCGTACTCGACGGGAATATCTCCTCTCACTAACGAACATGGCCGAAATGTCTTAAAAAATATAGAAAAATCAGAGCACCAATGTCAAGTATAGGACTTAAACCCCTATTAGGCAGATGATACCACTGTCCAGCTAACCATCCACCCACAGATTCATTCGTAGAGAGAATTTTTTTTCCCCGACAGTTGCTCACAAGCCATGCATGAGAAAATCAAGGATTAACACTGTTATACCCTATGTTCATGGTCCAATGATAGTTTGAACAATTACTAGTAGCTATGATTTCAAACTGCATCTCTTCTATTATGATGATGAATTGCTTGGCTCTCTATTTTGTACTCGCTTCCTCCGGGTTACCCGATTCCCTCGTATCTTGTGTTAAAGTTTCACCATTAATTTAAGTAGGTAAATGATCGTGTCAAGCAACCGGATGAGTTTTGGGCCC